ATTTTATTTTTTCGGAATGAAAGCCTTTATCTTAACCAAGGAAATTAACGTTTTAACACACATTTTATTTAATAAACAAACTGTAAATGATTTATTGCAAACAGTAGTCTTTATCAAATAGTAAATAGAAAAATAGGCAACATTTTTTTTAAAGCTCTGAAATAAATATTGTTGATTTTATTGAACTCTCATCTACGCAGCCTACAAAACTGGTTAAATGAAATTTTCTAATTAGGTGATATACCTAGGTATTTATATTGGATTTTAAGCACATAAAATGAGGAAAAAGCTACTTTTCAAACCACACGAGTCACGTATAGGACAATAAAGATGAACAGATTCCCTTGTGCTTTGATAAGGTCAGGGTTTATTTTTATTTTTTTTTGTGTTTTTTTTTTCACTTTTACTTTCTGTAGCTCTCTGTGGTCTCCTCCATTTCCTCCGATGTGGAGTAGCGGGGTTGCGGTTGTGACATGTGCCTTAGGTGGTTCCATCAGGCGTGTGTGGGAAGCCCACCAGCTGAAAAAAAAAACTTGCTTTGCGTGTTTGCCTTAGCTTCCTGAGTTTGCTGTGGTGTGCTAGTTTATGTTGTATAATGCTTCATAAATTACATTTTGAAAACTATGTTTGATATTTATTCTTACAAGACTTTAATTTAAGGTAGCTATAGAAAGATTTAAATTCCAAGGCCCCTTACCTTTGTGAAATGAAGAGCGAATGTTTTTGAAGGAGTTAAAGACTTGCTGGTGATTTTTTCCCCATGTTATTGGGAGAATGGATTATATCAGGCAGCTAAAACAGCTGAAATATATGGTTCCCCTCCTTTAATTTTGCACATTAAGAGTAAATATTACATAATCTACAGGATGTGTTGTTGATAAAGAGAGGAATGAACACAGTTAAAGACTTGCAGGTGAATTAATTTCTTCCCGTTATGGAAGGGGAACAGATTATTTCAGACAGCTGAAATATATGGTTCCCCTCCTTTAATTTTTGCAAGTAAAGAGTAAATATTGCTAAATCCACAGGGTTTGTTGTCGATGAAGAGAGGAATTAACACAGTTAAAGACTTGCAGATTCCATTAATTCAAGACTTGAATTAATTTCTTCCCATGTTATGGAAGAGAAACAGATTATTTCAGGCAGCTGAAATATCCATTCTCTCCTCTCCTCCTCCCATATATTTGGGAAACAAAGAGCAACCGTTACCAATTTTTAAAAAATTGATATGTGTGATATGTTATGTTATACTAGAAATATCCTTAATCCAGTAATCTATCATATTTTACATTAGAAGGGAATTAACCAGAAAGTCTACTCTTTAATCTTTGCACGATGTCTTAGTTTGTGTGCCCTACTATCAGCCACTTCCCATGCTATTATATTAGCAATGAAAAATTATAAATACATACTACGTGTAGGAAACGTGTTTGGTGACTTACATTTATTTCTGTCAGGCTTAAGTGACAAAAGTTGGAGAAATAGCGATTATCTCGGCGTTTAAAAAAACAACACAAAACAGCATAGGAAGACCTTGTTCATTTATTTATTTTACAAATTTGTAAAAAGAGCAACCGATTAAAACTGAATATTACAAAATTGACATGATCGTATGAGCTTTTTTGACCGAGAAATGATCAGGAGCGCCTTGAAAATGATCAGATCAGCCTCTCTGGCTGCAATACGCGCTCCCGACACAGGGGGAAGAGATGAAAACATGTGGTAAGAGTGTTCATTTTAGAGTTTACTAAAGGATAAGGTTGGAGCAATTATGAGGAGTCCGGCTGATTTCGATGAAGAGACTGGCAGGCGAAGGTAAAAGATCCAAACTACTTGCGAAACATCAAATCATAGAGTAAAAAAAAGAAAAGGTC